GAACTATTGGTGTTGCCGCACCGTAAAAAATAACCGCACCGTAAGACACCGCCGCACCTGAACCCGCCTCTATATATATATATATATATATATATATATATATATATATATATATATATATATATATATATATATATATATATATATATATATATATAAGTATGGTGCAATATTTTTATATCGTTTTGTTGACCAGAAATCAACTATAAAGTTTTCGGCGATGGATCACGTATTTTGGCCTTTTGGGGTCCCACTGGCCACTGCTATCTTCTTTCCGTTATCGGCGTTGGCCACGTGGCAGGAACGGACAGCCTGTCTACCGGCGTGCGCAGTTATTATTATTATTATTATTATTATTATTATTATATTATTATTATTATTATTAAAAGGGAGACTTCCACAAGATACTTATGTGTGTGGTTCGGCCGTAACGGTTCATTTTTTAAAGATGAAGGACATGAATGTCAAATTTCGAATTTTTTACTAGACTTTATGAATAGAATATTTCAATATTTATGTCAAATCGGACATGGATGAAATCTATGAATAGAATATTTCAATATTTATTTTTAAATAATACGGAGTAACAAATTTCACTTAACTAATTGTGACAAAGAAAAAACATCAAGGATATAATGCGAAATATTTTAAAAATATGACTAAGTGTGAGAATGTCACAATATTCGATAACTAAAAATGAAATTTGCTTGATATAACTTTGAGTTAATACCACAAATGGTCCTTTGACTATTGAGGTAGTACTCTTTTAGTCCTCAACTTTCAATTCGACCAAAACACATACCTTGACTTCTATTTTTGACCACAAATGGTCATTCGTTAGTCTTTTTATTAAGTGAGTGTTAAATTTATGGGTATTATCGTCAAATCAAAGAAAAAATAAAATAGTTAACAACAAATCCATTTAAAACAGCAATGCCAATACATGAATTTGGAATAATACATTAACAAGATGCGTTGCATATCTTTAATGGTTGTTAAACCACCATACATTTTTGCGTAAGCCATTGCTTTTTCAAAAAAAAAAAAAACTAAATAAATAAAAATTGATTTTGTTATGATGCCAAGATTTCATGTATCTAGCTTGATTACTGTGTTCAATTGTTTAAAAAAAATAGATATAAGGTAGTAATCAATAGTCGTTCTCTAATAGTTCTTGTGAGTTAATACGATCTGAGATCTTTCGAGTATAGTAATTTTGCCATGTTTAGTCCTAAACTTTCAAATTGACCATCTGTGGTCCTTCGACTTTCAAATTTAACCATTCGTAGTCCAAGTTAACCACCAATTGTCCTTCAACTATTAAATTTTAACCAACCACGACCCTTTCAAGAGGACCACAACTGGTCAATTTGAAAGTTTAGGACTAAACGTGGCAAAATCACTATACTCGGAGGACCTCAGATGGTATTAACTCTAGTTCTTGTACGTTAAGTCTTCTGTGTGTTTAAAAATTTTCGACTATTCTACTGAGATTTAACTATGGTCGATTGGCCTTGACTTGGTATATCTCTATTGAATACCATACTTCATTTGCTCCACATACATGCCTCTATTGATAGACTCCACTTATAATCTAGAAGCATGTCGGACACCCTTATCTATCCAGAAACTCGCAGATTTATCAAAGCAGCTTTCAACAAAAATAAAAAAAATTCAGAGAAACGTAGCAGAGTTTATGGCTTCCAAGAATAACCAGCATAACCTTTGGTTTCATATGATATGCTTGACTGCCCAATTCATGGCATCTCGGCTCCATTTGTTTCGCTTGCATCCACGATTGTAGTGATACTTTTTGCCTTTGCTGTTTTAAATGGATTTGTTGTTAAATATTTTATTTTTTCTTTGATTTGACGATAATACCCATAAATTTAACACTCACTTAACAGAAAGACTAACACATGATTATTTGTGGTCAAAAATGAAAGTCGAGGTATGTGTTTTGGTCAAATTAAAAGTTGAGGACTAAAATGAGTACTACCCCAATAGTCAAAGGACCATTTGTGGTATTAACTCTTATTTTTTTCTTTGATTTGACGATAATACCCTTAAATTTAACACTTACTTAACAGAAGGACTAACAGAGGTCTATTTATGGTCAAAAATGAAAGTTGAAGTATGTGTTTTGGTCGAATTGAAAGTTGAGGACTAAAAACAGTACTACCCCAATAGTCAGAGGACCATTTGTGGTATTAACTCAAAGTTATTATTATTATTATTATTATTATTATTATTATTATTATTATTATTATTATTATTATTATTATTATTATTATTATTATTATTATTATTATAGAATAATATAAATATCTAAAATCTAAATAAATCTAAAGTTTTAATATACAGTACTATTATTGAGTATCTATTTTTACGTATCGCGCATTGAAAATACTAGTTCAAACTTCAAATATGCGAGTCAATAATTTTGAAATAAAATTATTAGAATAAATAATAAATATGGTATGATTAATTAGATTGTTCCTCCATACAATATTACCTTCAATATTCATCTTAAATAGTTGTAATAAGAAAGTCACAGTGTTATAACATAATTCTTCTTAAATAGTTGTAATAAGAAACTAATAGTGTTATAACATAATTGGAGTTATGTTATCAAGTTAAATGTAATATACAATATTTTAGACAAAAAAGTTCATATTTGTGACAAAACCCAAATTATATTTCAAAAGTTGTCTGCCAAATTGTCAAACATATTTTAACAACAATATTTTGTAATTTGTTGCCCCGTGATTCTTGGCTCTTGGGAGCTGACAAACGTATGACGTACCAATAAACGATGTCGTTCCAATGGGGATTAGAAATGAATTATATATCTACATCTACAAATCTACAAATCTACGAATCTATCTATGAATCTAATAAGAGCCAATAATGTTATGCCCTTTACTGGAATAAAAAAATATTGGTGTAATTGTTTCTTAAAATAAATGGTTCATATTATTTTGATTTTAGTATTTTTTTAATGATTTTTCCTTATTTACCCTCTATTATATTACTTTCTTCCCTTAAATAACCATAAATTCCGTTAGTATAAACTTTTGCAACAGAATATTCCGTTAACTATTTATTATTCTTAACTTACTCATTAATTTCTATAAGAAATGTCTTAGGTTCTAACCCCATCCCAACTAGAGTTGCCATAATTGTTAAACATATACTACAAATATGTTAAAATGCATTAAAAAATATAATATAAAATTGAACATAAACTTTGGTCAAATAATTAGCCAGATTAAATACATAACATTCAAAGTTGAGCATCAAAGATTATAAATCAAGAACTTTGAAAATCATTTTATTTTATTGCATTTAAAAAAAAAAACAAATTGCTAATCGCCGATCATGTTCTCCGATCAATCTTCCGATAGTGGCCCTCTCTCTTGATCGTGAGAGAGTGATCTCCCTAGAGCTCTAGGGTTTTCCCACGTTTCTGGTTTTGGCTCTTTTGTCGTCTTTTTAAACCATGTTCGCGCAAGTTTTCCTGATATGCTTGTACTGTATTCACGCTCATTGGATCGCGATGGATGTTAACGATATTGCAGCGGGTTGTGCGGCGTTGTCGCTGGCGGAGGAGGATAATGGGGGGATGGACGTCCCCGACATCCAGGATCTCTCAAATGCGATCCATCATCATGATTTGGTTGGGCGATTTCTCACAGATCGGCCGATCAAATTCGACCACATGCAGCAAGTCCTCGCGTCTGTTTGGAGGCCGGTCATGGGTATGCGCGTTCTTCTTCTGGACGAGAATCTTTTCCTTTTCAAATTTCCGCACAGGAAGGATCGCCAACGTGTGCTGGACGATGGCCCGTGGTCCTTTGAAAACAACATGCTCATCTGCAACGAGGTTCCGTTTGGGGGCAGACCTGAGGAGGTGTCGCTCAATGCAGTCTTGTTGTGGGTCCGAATCCATGATTTACCGACAATATATGCCTCGTCGGATTTTATCGCTCGTGTTGGCGATTATGTGGGCACGTTCCTGGCGACGGACCCCAACAATTTTGGGGGATCATGGCACAACTACATACGAATACGCGTCAAGCTCGACATCAATGCCCCATTGAAGTGCAGACTGAAGCTTTGCCGTAAGGATGGTTCAGCACAGTGGATCACCTTCAAATATGAGAGGTTGGGTACCTTCTGCTTTTGTTGTGGGGTGTTGGGTCACTCCGACAAATTCTGCAAGAAGGTATACAATGAGGAGATGGATCTAGAGTCGTTTCCGTACGGTGCATGGATGCGGGCGGGGACTCGAAGACAAGCGAAACCTGTGGGTACGAAATGGCTATTATCGGATATCCCCATACCATATGTAGCGACATCTACTAGCATAACCTTGGCTCCCACGTCGACTCTGGCGGAGGAGGAGGAAAATGGGGCACTGCATGGAGATTTGAAGCGACGCAGGGAAGACAGTGCACATCCAAGTGATATGATCATGGAGGGAAACGATTCTAATATTATTCCGGCGGGTCTGGTGGTCCAGGTCCGCCCTGAACAATGAGTGTTCTAAGCTGGAACTGCCGGGGGATGGGTAGCGACCGGACAGTTCGAGAACTTCTGGGCTTTATGTCCAGAAAGCGACCCAGCTTCGTTTTCCTTATGGAAACGAAGGCTTTGATGTGTCAAGTTGAACGTGTGAGAGTGGAGTTAGGTTTTGAAGGTTTGGTGTGTGTTGAACGGTCAGGTATGAGTGGAGGCCTCGCTTTGTTTTGGCGAGACTCGGAGATGGCAACTTTGTTGAGCTATTCATCCAACCATATCGATGTCATGATTACTCTTCCGAATAAACCAGAGTGGCGGTTGACCGGCTTCTACGGTAATCCAGATAGAGCAGAACGCCGCTTGTCATAGGATCTTCTACGACATCTAAAAGGCCAATCACATCTCCCTTGTGTGTTATGGGCGGCTTTAACGAATTGTTGTGTCCATCTGAGAAACGAGGTACGCACTCACATCCCATGACCCTGATCGATGACTTCAACGACGCCTTGGAGGACTGCCAGCTTGTCGACCTGAGCATGGTAGGCAGTCGTTTCACTTGGGAAAAGGGGCGTGGAACTGAGACGTGGGTGGAGGAGCGGCTAGACAGGGCGGTGACGACGACAGACTGGCTAGATGTGTTCGAAGAAGCGGTGGTGTACAACCTGCTAACTATGTCCTCGGACCACAATGCGTTAGTGCTCGACGTGGAGGCGAGAACTGTCCGTGCGTCCAAAAGGAGTTTCAAATTCGAATCTGCCTGGCTTATGGAGGAGGGATGTCACAAGGTGGTGGACAATTCATGGCGCTGTTCTTTAGGGATGAGTTTTCAACAGCGTGTGGAGGTGTGTGGACATCAGTTATGGAAGTGGGGTGGTGAGCATTTCCGCCGTTTTGGGAATCGCACAAAGTTACTCCGCAATAGGTTGGAGGTTCTCAGGGACTCACGTGTGGCGCAGGACATTTCCGAATATTTGAATGTTGAAGGAGAACTGCTCACGTTGATGCGTCAAGAGGACTTATTCTGGAAGCAACGTTCCAAGCAATTGTGGTTGCAGCATGGCGACCTCAATACCAAGTTTTTTCATAAAGTGGCTACTGTGCGGCGGCGTAAGAATCTTTTACTCTGAATTAAAACGACTGACGGTGTGTGGGTGGAGGGCGAGGGGATGCATGACGAAGTGATGCGTTACTACAATGATATCTTCCAATCGGAAGGCACAACGACCGACTTATTTCACCAGGTCCCGAGTCGGATCACCGCTGAGATGAACGAGATGCTTCTACAACCTGTTACCATAGCAGAGGTTAAGGCGGCTTTGTTCTCAATGGCCCCGGAAAAAGCTCCGGGCCCGGATGGTATGTCACCCGCCTTTTTATCAACAGTTTTGGCCTTTGCTAGGCCATGACCTGTTCATTTTCATTCAGAATTGCATTGTGAGTCGATCCCTCCCGCAGGGTATAAATGACTCCAACATTGTTTTAATTCCAAAAAAAAAAGGTCCCGGAGAAGGTCTCAGACCTTCGTCCAATTGCTTTATGCAATGTTGCATATAAGGTTCCTGCGAAGATGTTAGCCAACCGCTTGAAAGATGTTCTCGAGTCGGTTGTCTCGGCATCTCAAAGTGCCTTTATTCCGGCTAGACTCCTTACTGATAATGTGATTGTAGCTGGGGAAGTAGGTCATTACTTGTGGCGGAAATCTGCCGGGGTTATGGGCTGGGCTGCTTTAAAGCTCGACATGGCCAAGGCTTATGACCGGATGGAATGGGGATTCCTAAAAGGAATGCTAACGGCTTTGGGCTTTGCAGATGAATGGACTGATATACTGATGATGTGCGTGACGTCAGTCCGATATGCCATTCAAGTCAATGGCGATGAGGTAGGGACGGTGTACCCTACGCGAGGTATTCGCCAAGGGGACCCGCTGTCCCCTTATTTGTTCATCCTTTGTGCTGAAGGGCTCTCTATCCTTTTGCAACAGGTAGAAGCCCGGAGGGATATTCATGGGGTTAGGGTGGCGAGAGGTGCCCCGCCTATCTCGCATCTTTTTTTCACGGACGACAGTTTGTTGTTTTTCAGAGCTGTGGAGTCTGAAACTCTCCAGATTCGGGAATGCTTGATGAACTACAGTGCAGCCTCGGGACAGGTAATCAACTATGACAAATCTAGTGTCATGTTTAGTATGAACACCTGCGCCGATATGAGAAATACGGTGTCCAATGTCATGGGGGTTCCTATAACTGCCGATTTGGGTCGTTATCTTGGACTACCCTCAGTGTTAGGCCGAAATAAAACGACCACTTTCAAATATATTGAATAGAAGATTCAAGAAAGAATTGGGGGTTGGAAACAGAGATTTCTTTCTAGGGCAGGGAAGGAGGTTCTACTTAAAAGCATTGCTCAAGCCTTGCCCATCTTCACCATGTCTGTGTTCTTGTTGCCAGGTCGGGTCTGTGACTCGATCGAGAAAGTGTTTAATAGATACTAGTTGGGGGGGGGGGGGGTGGTGGCACTAACAATAAAGGAATCTATTGGTTAAGCTGGAGTCGCCTTTGTGTACCGAAGGAGCAGGGGGGTTTGGGTTTTAAAAAGATTCAAGAGTTTAATCTGGCTCTTTTGGCGAAACAGGGTTGGCGGTTGTTGATCTATCCCAACTCATTGGTCAGTCGCATCCTGAAGGCGAAATACTTCCCAAATTGTGATTTCCTCGATGCTCAGTTAGGTGGCAATCCGAGCTTCATCTGGAGAAGCATCATGGCTGGGCAACCTTTGCTGAGATTAGGCACTGCTCGGCGAATCGGTGATGGCAAGACTTCTAAAATCTGGGCATGGCCCTGGTTGTCTGACTCATCATCTCCAGAGCTTCACACACCGGTCGTTGATGAACTCAAAGATGCTACGGTGCATGGTCTGATAAACTCGCAAGGTAGCTGGGACGAAGAGGTTCTCCGTAATATCTTTCTGGAGAGAGACTTTACCAGAATCCTAGCAACGCCAATCTCACCTATACACGAAGATTCTTGGCGGTGGAAAGATGACATGAGAGGTATGTATTCTGTTAGACATGGCTATGAGATGCTCACAAAACCGCAGCAGCACGCCACTACACAACCTCTGTTCATTGTTTGGACCAAACTCTGGAAGCTGCTGGTTCCGCCCAAGGTGCATATGTTCTTATGGCACTGTGTCCGCGGGATCGTGCCCGTTAAGGAAACCTTGAAACTCCGGCGGGTGTGGATCGGGGGTTGCTGTTCGTTGTGTGATTATCCGTACGAAACTTTGGATCATATTCTGTGTGACTGCATCGTTGCACGAAAAGTGTGGGGAGAGGAGCTTGGGCTGAACGTACGTACCGTGCACGAGTGTTTAGAGGTGGTACTGGGAGCCACCGTCGTCGATCAAGTGATCCACTTATCATCGGCCTTCTGGGTATTGTGGTCCGCACGTAATGCCTTCATCTGGAGGAACGAGGTGAGTTTGCTCGAAGGTTTACGCATGCAGATCCTCACTTACCGTGACCTATTTTAACAATAATATTTTGTAATTTGTTGCCCCGTGATTCTTGGCTCTTGGGAGCTGACAAACGTATGACGTACCAATAAACTATGTCGTTCCAATGGGGATTAGAAATGAATTATATATCTACATCTAGAAATCTACAGATCTACAAATCTACGAATCTATCTATGAATCTAATAAGAGCCAATAATGTTAGGCCCTTAACTGGAATAAAAAAAATATTGGTGTAATTGTTTCTTAAAATGAATGGTTCATATTATTTTGATTTTAGTATTTTTTTAATGATTTTTCCTTATTTACCCTCTATTATATTACTTTCTTCCCTTAAATAACCATAAATTCCGTTAGTATAAACTTTTGCAACGGAATATTCTGTTAACTATTTATTATTCTTAACTTACTCATTAATTTCTAATTTTCTATAAGAAATGTTTTAGGTTCAAACCCCATCCCAATTAGAGTTTCCATAATTGTTAAACATATACTACAAATATGTTAAAATGCATTAAAAAATATAATATAAAATTGAACATAAACTTTGATCAAATAATTAGCCAGATTAAATACATAACATTCAAAGTTGAGCATCAAAGATTATAAATCAAGAACTTTGAAAATCATTTGATTTTATTGCATTTAATCAAAAAACAAATTTAGGTTAAGTTTTTATTTATTTATTTATTTATTTTTTTCATTTAATTAATCTTCTTTTGATTATTTAAAACAAAACTTAATATTTCAATTATGCTTTTGCATTATTGAAATGATTTAGGTTATTATGGTATTACTAATTTTTGTATATTTTTTAAAAATGGTACAATTGTACATTACTTTACAAATATTATATGCTATTATTTTTTTTATTATACAAAATTGTTCTTACATCACTGTTAGACATGCACGACCTAATTACATAGTTGTTGATCATAAATACAATTACACTTGAACTCTAAAACAGTAGGACCATTTTCCAAAGAATTGATAATGTTGACATCCCACTGGCTCCAATTGAACAAGTTTACACATCAGAATTTTATCAATGCATGAAAACTTCTAAAAAATTTGTAAGGAAATTTTTACTATATCATTATAACAATATCTATTGTAACCATATATTTTAAATTATTTATTATCATCCTTTTATTGATAGCAATTGTTATTGACAAACTCTGAAAACAATTTGTCTCAACAACGAATGAAAATTAAAAAAAAAAATCAATGATTTCATTATTGTGGACGAAAAGTATGTACGCCACTTTATTACTCTTATTAATTTAAATAAATTAGTAGCTATAACAAAAAATAATACATATGCATTTAATTAATTTAGAATTAGATGTCTAAAATGCCTTTATTTTTTTTAAAATATTCATTATAAAAAATTAAAAAAGAGATATAATTTCATTAGTTATATTATCTTTATTTTCCACAATTCAAAGATTCATTACTTTCAAATTTATTAATTTATTATATTCACTACATTGTCTATTGTCTTCTTTTTGCATTATCTTATAATTAAATATCAAAGTTATAATACAAAATATGTTATATATATTTATTTACCAAGTATTTTATACAAATATAATAAATATTACTCCGTAATATTTTATTCAATACTTTCACATGATAACCTATTACACACATATCACAACACATGAAACATGTAAGGAAAAAACTACCACTCCCAAGTATCAATAGGTACTTTCGTACTTGTAAGATAAAGAGTTCATAGTACAACTAATATCTTAGTCATATACACAGTAATGCAAATCTAAAACCAAAACTAAAGCTTCCTTCACCATAATCTCATTGCATGGTGAATTCCTCTATGCTACCACGAGTAACTCAATTGCACATGACACACTACTAATAAAAAAAAAGGGACGTGCACTGAAGATGAAGACAATGGCAATGCTACCCAAAAGAGAATTAAGAAGAATTAGAGAAATTTAAACCAAAAGTAGTTTTATTTAGACTATCGTTTTTTTTATTTTTATTTTTTTTTATTTTTAAAGGAGACTATCTCTTTTAGACTAAGTATTTAGCTAGACTGTCGTTTTTACAAAGTTGCAAACATTTATTTCAATGACCATTATAATCAATCTCTTATATATTATATTGCATTTATATACTTTAAATTATCAATTTAAATAAATAAATTCAACATTTTTTTACATATGCATAAACATCTCCTATATAATATTACATTGATATACTTTGAAGTACTTATTAAAAAATAATCATTGTCTATTATCCCATTTGCCATTAAAAAATTAGTATATATATATAAGAAGCATAGACATAGTGCTAGTTAGATTGAATTTTTCATACGAGAGGGGTCGAATTCTTAATCTCTCTTAAGAGATGAGAGTACACGACCACTCACACTAACCAAACTAGTTAGAAATGAATTATATGGCATCCAAAGACTCAGAAACCTTATCGAATATTCTTCTAAGTTGCCATCCATTTCCAACTCATTCTGGACTGGACACAAGTTGCCATCCATTTCCAACTACTTAGAACTGGACACACCCAACACCCCTCTTCTTTAATTTGCTCCTTCATCATTGCTAATTTAAATTAAACACTCGACATTCGCGTGATC